CCAGTTATCTGGCAAGAAGTGTGCCCTATGACGAGAAGTGTGTCGGCAGATGCTGCTGATTATCTACTGCAGATACTATCGAGACTGACAGTCAATTGAATGGCAAGGTCATGTTGTCACAACAGAGCATGAAATGTTGGCAGTGAATGAATTTTTGGTCCTTCGGAAATATACACTAGCCGCCGCACGTGCTAAGCTTATTTGTAAAGACAACCACGTTTAGTCTATGTGAGCAAGTCGACGATTGGGCACACTTTTCTCGAATGAGCAAGTGGTATTACTAATTTACAAAAATGTGGAAAGCAGCGGACGTTCCATTGCGACTTGTGTTGGAACTTTCGTTTGCGTCTTTGTTGTTGGACGACAAAACCCGATATGCAATTATGATGTGTGATGGGTTCTATGCCTCGATTTGCAACAGAGCTGACTCTCAGCTCCTTACGCTTTTGCGTCGAAGTCCAGCCGACATGGCAAGAGCAGTCGTCGGTGTGGATGTGACTGCACACAAGGAAGCACGGAATGTGGCCGACGTCGGAAGGAAGGTGAAGCTGTGGGTGCGTTACTATGTGGAGATTGTTGTTGGCTCGCCCAGAGAGAGTCACACGCGACTGGGCTTCTCAGGCTCCTTCCGAACTCTCTCGCGAATGCACCGCGAGTTTGTGCGGCTCTATGATGCAAAGCACGTGCATCCTCATAGTGGCAAGATGAAAAAGAGTTGTGTATCGAGCTCAATGACGTCGTCCACGTTGCGCTCGTCAGCGTCGTCGACGTTAATGGGTTCGCCCACCCCTCTCTCGGGTCTAATGCGACACGCGCTTGGCTTGAAGAAGGAGGAAAGCATTTCTGAAGATGTCATTGCAGGAGCAGGGGTGGATAACAGAATATTGTACGGAAGTCGCACATGTTACCCCCATCAGGGGTGCTTGACCGCGTTGGATCCTTCTGGGATCGCACCCTTTCCTAGCGATAACACGATGCTGACGGGTTTGGAAAGCCTTGAAGCCAAGGATGATGTCAAAATTGAAGCCCGCAGTACTGCACTGTTTGAATACTATTCGCACTTGTTCAACTCAGATGACAGGGATCTGTATTTGGACTTTGCCTACCAATCTGCGCTAGAGCACGTAAACAAGAAGAATGGTCAAGTATCCGGGGATCATTCGGGGGACAGAGCAAAGCAGATACCATCTACAAACGTTGGCATGTATCTCAAGCTGCTTTTTCGTCCAGTGAAAGATGGAGCCAAGACCAGCCAGCACGTCGAGTTTCGGGAGCCCGTGTACGTGCGAGTAAAGATTGGATCACATAGGCGGCCGTCTACGCGAAAGCACTAGTCAACTAATCGAAGGGCTTGCGACGCAACAATCTTCTAGTGAAACAGAAACTGGCAAGCTGATAAGTGCAATCATCTGTATTGATACTTGCGGGTTGCAGTGGAAGCAATGTAGTAGAAGGTGATTGCCAACTCTGTTGCGCTAGTTTTATTGAACTGCAACGCTGTGTGTCGACGTCAGGGTACAGATGCGTATGGCATCTCCATGAACGTAGCTAGGCAGCCTCTCTTGTCACTGTGGCATGCAACATTCGGGTACCTCTTCTCGTTGCCCGTCTTACCAAGTCTTTTCTGTCAGCAGGTAAAGTTATTCAACGCTGCCGCATTCAGCAACAATGATGTCAGATGACTACGTAACTGCACTTTCTAGATCTAGCTTCAAGCGCTGTAGCACCAACGACTTGTCCTCAGGATAAGCAATTGTTTGGTATTTCGACAGCAGCTAAGTCGTATCTCGAACTGTCCATCATCTTCAAACCAACCAACCATGCATTCCGGTACTGCACGCGTATACTGCTACATCGAATGGATTGCGACAGATCATGGCAATTCTGGGACCATCAGTACAGGCCTCGCATGTCTCCGATCATACTGGTCTTTGGAGGGTAAAGTGCTTACTCCTGTCGCCACAGACGTCAAGGTCGATAAATGGTTTGCATTTTAGCCACAAACAACGCTTGCCGAACCTGGGCTGGGTTACCCCAAGCTACACATCAGGCCTATTATAGCATTCGAGTCAATGTAAGATCTATACAGTCACACGACCGCGGCTACCTATGGACTTTCTTGGAGTGCGGTCCGAATGTTTATAGTGCCAGGTTGTCATGACTTTCAGAAGCTTGGACTCTGCAGTGCAATAGTGACGCACGAAAATCGCTTGATTTGGTGTCACACTCGATGGATATTTTACCCTTACTTTACAAGAGCGATGCCTAGTAAACGGGTTGTTTGCGTCCCTACGTATAGGGATTGCCCTGAAGCCATTGATGTGTAGTTTTTTGTGCATTTACGTTCGCCTACTTTCCAGATGTAGGATTACCTCCTGACGGACAACAATCTCGTTCGTTTGTGGTTGTTGCCGTAAAGTTGAGCTAGAAAATTCAGGTGCTGCTCCGTGCGATCGTAATTCAAATCACGAGTCATCAGGTACACAAGTCCTCATGCAATCCTAAGCTGATGGGTGGGATGCTCTCGTGACGACAAGTCGAGATCATCTTCATGAACATTGGCATGCACTCCTAGCGGATGTCTTCTACACGTAAGTCGAAATGAGCATCATAGCAGATTATGTCGTAATTGCTTAATCTTTAGTATAGAAAGCACGTGCGCCGATTCCGACGACAGCTCTCTTACCAGAATGTACCCCTCGCAACACCGGCACGTTCTAGAAAACAAACATCTAGTTGATGAGTGAAGGAGCGACAAAGTCTACAGCACACACCTTGGTACACCGACTAACGGACCGCTAGAATATATCGAAAGAACAAACCACTAGATTTCAAGCATTTTCGACATACCACTGCGAGCGCATAACTAACTACAATATGTGCATTGTGAAGGGAGTGTCTTAATATACGTTGTACGTCATAACACCACGAAAGCGCTGTGTCAGGTGAAGCATCGATACGTCGACACGTTGTAGTCGCTCAGCTTGCGACCATGATACAACAGCTTGCCAGGGAAGACAGACGTTGTAGGTACCTGTCTTTGTCTAAAATATTCTGCCATATATCGTTCGTCGATCGAGTCTGGAGGGAAAACTCAGTGCGTTTGGCCTGACCCGTCAAGGTCCTTCGACGATCTGCATCCTGAGATGTCGTTTCTGGCTGATCTGGAACGGGGTGACGGGCGCTTGAAAGAAGAAGGATATAAATGAAGGAAGTGCGAGACCGAAAAGAATCGGCTAATGTAAATCGAGAGTGAATAATGACGATCGAACTTACCGATGTGAGTTCATGTTGTGCACATGAAACTCCGGATGCAGGATTCGAATGCGTATAAAAGATGTAATTCGACTTCATTTGACAAACCTGATTACAATAAGTAGGTCTTGCTCCTAACTTTTCTCGCGTATGTATTACAAAAACAACCTGGACCATTGAGCGGAAAGGGTGGGAGTTTCAGATATGCCTACTTGTTAGATGACCATGTTTGGTGAGTAGGAATAAGAGGATAAAAAGATAGCTTTGTGGTGGCTACGCTAGGGGCAGAAAGACGAGCGGCTGCTGCAATGTATCGCACATTGCCCGACCTTGCAGCAGCTGAATCCACGCAGCTGCGGAACGAAT